TTTTTTCACAGCCAATTAAAGGCTACATGTTTCAGCTTGTGCAAGCTTCTTGCTGCAATTGCATGCAATCGTGCAGACGGAGAGAGCAGAGAGAGAGAGAGAGATAATTAATAATTAAAGGTTTTTGGCTCAAAGAAGTTGGACGAGAGCACGATTTGGCATTTCCGAAGCCATGAATCCCGAGGTTGTTAAACAGCTTTTGGATGTGAAGAGCTCCGGTCTCGCAATCAATGCGAAAACGGCGCAAATCATGCATATCCTCAAAGAAGCTGGGATGACTTATGATCTCCAGATACCTCCCAGCCAGATGCTTGTGCATCCCGGCAACCGGTGTGGTCTGCTGGTAAATTCATTTGACAGCCATGAAAAGGGCTGGAAGGCCCTTCAAATTGGCTTCGACCCTACGAAGCTTCAGGGCTCGATATGTATGGAACTTTCGAAAGATCCTGGCATGAGGGCTCAGCAAATCCAGGCCAATGAGGGTTTGGTTCTTCAAGCCGAGGGTCGCCTTGCTGCAATCAATTGCCACGAGCGGTTTTGCAGTTTGGACTGTTCCCACATGACTCAGTTCCTGAAAAGCTGCATTGCGGGATGCAAGACAGATCATGTTGAGCTGCAGAAGATCAACTCGGGAGTACTTTCGGTTGAGTCTTTGGTGATGCAGTACAAAGACAAATTCTTCCAGGAGCTGTGCACGGAAGGATGGAAGTGGCGGGTGGTTTGTTGTGAAGCAGAAGCAGCTTGCCCATGGCTGCCCAGTATGCTCCAGGCCTCAGCGAACAGCACAAACCTCGTAAGCAAAAATGCGACAGAGATCGAGGTAGCTGCATCGCTAGCATACCATTTCGGAATGACCAAAAATATGCAGACAGCAATCGACACCACGAAAGCAGCCTTGCCGAACATTTCCTACATGAACAGTGTGGGGCACTATGTACAGCACTTCGGCGGTGGAGATAAGGGTGGCTTTGAGCTCATCGCCTTTCTGCAGCAGCTGAGCAAAAGCTTCGGACACAGTCTTTTCCTTGGCGAAGAGTATATGGATGCCTTAGCTTTCACACGTTTCAGCGATCCCAGCTCTACGTATCCGTTTCTCAGGGCTTCGTTCTGGGCTGCTGCTATGTCTTCCCCCAAATCAGCAGACAGCATTTCCAAGTTGGTCACAAAGTCCGACATTGAGAAATTGAAGGGCACCAACATGAAGACCCAAATCAAGACAGCTGAAACCTTGCTTAGCTTGAGCTGGAACCTTCTCAGCAACACGGGGAGCCTTCACGAGAAGAAGGGTGTACGGGCAATGGGTCACATGATGATCAGGACGGCCTTGCTTCTGGTCAAGAAGGAAGCCAAGGGCAAGGAGGGTAAGACCTTTGGTACGTTGCAGAAAGTGCATGAAGCATTTACTGCAGAAGTGGGCGACGGGAATGCTGCAGGGGCAGCAACCACGGCCGAGAGCAGCGAAAGTGGGGGTGAGTTGAGGATCATGTCACTGCAGGCCGGAATTCAGAAACATGCATGGGCATCAGCCTTTAAAGGCTTCGTTTTCATCAGCCTTTAAAGGCTTCGTTTTGATCAGCCTTTCAAGGCTTCGTTTAGTTATTGAACAGAATAGATATACCTATACCCGTGCTAAGTTTATCGCGACATTGATCTTCAGCTTGTGGTTCCCGTGTATGTTGTTTTATGTGTCCAGGACACAGCAAGTGCAGCGATCATTGCTGCAACATCCAACTCGTGGCTGAAGGTTGGAGCTCGCTACGTGCAGAAAGACAATCCTGCGATCTATGAGTTCGTAGGAATGGATAATGTAGATGGAATCTTCAAGTTGGCGGATGCATGGGGCACCGACTACACACTTCGCATCCCCCACAAGGATTTGCGAAACATGCGAGCCACGGATAAGAAGGTTCCAGCTTTGCACTCGGCGGAACACGTGGCACGTCGCCGTGTGGACTCCTTCATGACTTTGGAAGAGGAGGTTGCCAAGGCTACAGCTCTCACCATGTTGTTCAACTTCTATTCGGAGCTTCTTGGCATCATGAGTCGAGTGATCGAGTGTGCGAGCTTGCATGCTGAAGTTGCTTGTGTTATAGTCGTGTATGTGTAAGGCAGCAGGTGGACGAATGCCTGGTCGATTTGCAGTTCACTTCCGATGGCAAGGTGTATGCCGCTAACAACATAAAAAAGTTCGCACTCAAAGTGTTCCCCATGGGCATGCTCAGCAAAAGCAAGAATGCTGCCGACGAGAAAGGCAAAGTTGTGATATCCGTGGCCACTGACAATTTCATCGTCCAGCCTCCCAAGAATGATCGTTGCATCGTGCCTTTCTTTTGGGTTGGGCAGTGCTCTGAGGAAGGGTTGGCCAACATGGAGCATTTCCAAACCAAAGTGAAAGTAGGTGAGAAGCAACTGATAGTGCCTGGTTTGAGGAATCGAGTGGCAGTCAAAGCTCATGATGAACTCATCCTGTACAAAGCCCCCGAGAAAGGCTTGAAGCGAAAGGCTTGAAGCGAGCCCCACAGGTATGCAGCAGCCGGCACAGCAGGCTCGATCTAGTTTTGCAGCAGAAATGCTGTTGGGTATGAAAGAACTCTGGAGCCCGGGCACGTTCTGGAACAAAGAAGAGGGGGAGCCACCATTGCACCAGCCTGTATAGGCTTCTGTTATTGCGACTGTATCGGTTTCTGTTATTGTAGCCTGTATCGGCTTCGGTTTATTGCAGCCTGTGTTGGCTTCGGCTGCATGCAATCTATATTGGTTTTAATCCTGTGTCTTTTCATATGCAGCCTGTAAAGGCTTCGGCTATGCTTGCATGTGGGGACACGAATTGTGATTGAAAGCACGGCTCCATTTCAGTACATACATGATGAGAGATGTAGGGCAAGGCAAAGCAATCATTGCACCATGGGTGTGATGTGTGCATGCAGCATGAATCTAGCTTGAGCACATCCTAATCACCCCGGCCATGCAGATATCCGAACGAGTGGTTATGTCATACAAGGACGGTCCAGAAGTTCAAATACCCAAGATGTTGATTCAGGAAGACTCGGACGGGCAGAAGTGGTTCAAGGTTCGTCCTTCACATTATGCGATTGCAAAGTTGATGTTGGGACACCTAGAGGAGTTCAAGAATTGTCGACAGCCCAGCTTGGCGGCTTCCCCACAGATTGCAGAAATCCGAAAGATGCTGCTTGACAAGATCACCACAGCCCTTGGGCTTGCAGGTGCTGCCGAATCAGAGCAAGATGATTTTTTCGGCCAGGGCAATCAAGGTGATGATGCCAATGCTAAAGCTGCAGATGGACTTGAAGAGGATGAACAGACTCCAAAACGAAGGAAGCTCACATATCAAAAAGCGCCACCGACCATCAACTTGGAGTTGGGTGGCATTGCATGCACTTTCAAAACTCCAGCGACAGGACGAGAGAGTGACATCATCGTTATGCTTGATGCAAAGCAGCTGACAGCTCTGGCTGATTATGTGATACAGGATACTTCGGGTTGCTTGCAAGGTGATGCCAAGCGAACTTATAAGAGGACTGGCCAGTACAGGAAGGTCAGGCAGAACAGCCAAGAGTTTGAGCAGGGGGACGAGTAGGGCCATGCTTGCCGGCGGTGGTGTGAAAATCTGGCCTTGTGTGTTGCCTGTTTAGCGAGCCTGTACAGGCTATAAACATGTTGTTCCATAGAAGTATACTCCTAAACTGTGTACAAAGGAAGTTGAAAGCTGTGTACCTGGTTTCCATTCACAGATTGAACGGTTTCCCGAACCTATAGCCTATACAGGCTGTTGCTGGTCTATACACACATTCGGAGTTCGTGCAGGCTGCTTGTGTTGCCACATGAGCCTGTACAGGCTTCGTCCTCTGTGCTTGTGGAATCACATGCAGCCTTGTGCTAGCTTTGCCCGAGCTCAAGCAACATGGCGGACAAGGCCGCCTGGTACGACCCCGCTTGGGGCGAGTGGGCTCGGGAGATAGAGGCCGGGTCGGGTGGATCAGATCATGCATGCACATCCAAACAGAGAAGACATTTGTTGCATGCAGGAGGAGCATGCCGCTGCCGAGTGGGCTCGTGAGCTGGAGGCTGGGCTTCTGAAGAATATTGCAGACCAAAAAGCCAATGTTGCCAAGCACACTGCTGGGATATTCTGATCTGAGGCAGACTATGCCAGAAAGCGGAAGGCTTCGAAGACAGAGGCTCGGTTCACATGTTGTCAGCCTGTACAGGCTTCGTGGTGTTGCTGGCTTGTGCAGGTCTCTGATCAGCCTATACAGGCTTGCCCAGTGTCATCCCTTTGTAATGTTTAGGGTTTAGGGTTTAGGGGTTTAGGGTTTAGGGTTTAGGGGTTTAGGGTTTAGGGTATAGCCTGTACCGGCTCCTTTCTTAAAGCAATGACAAATCTGTTCAGGTCGAAGCTGCTCAGCAAAGCAGTGCGAAAGTGCACAAACCAGAGGCCGAGGTCAAGGAGGAAGAGCAGATGGAGGATGCACGGCTTCAGACGGCTCTTGCCCGAGCGATGTTGTATGCTGCAGGTGTGGCAGCGAGCCAGCCTAAAGCACCGGCACCGGTTCAGCATCACTTTGTGCCCAGTGCACCGGTGCCACCGCCTCCTCCGGTGGCAACAACTGAGGAGCTGCCTGGATGGGACATGCGACATGGTTTGGGCCAGCAGGATGGCTTTGTCCCGGTGACCACTGAGGAGCAGCCTGGATATGACATGGGTGGCTTTCAGCAGCCGGCAACCACCCAGGAGCAGCCTGCGTATGACATGCCACATGGTTTTGATCTNNTGGCTTTCAGCAGCCAGTGGGCCAGGGCGGCTATGCCTCCGAGTGGGCTCATGATGGCCAGCAAGGTGCCAATGCTGGGCATGTTGAGCCAGGTGGCTATGTTGGGCAAGGTGGCGATGCTCAGCAGACTGGGGCACCACCTGAGGTGGAGCAGGCTTCTGCTCCGACACCTGTGGATGTCAAGGAGGAAGAGCCGCCCAACGGGTGGACGGACAACCAAGGCCGTTACTGGTCGAGGGACACCCACAACCCTCTTGTGTGGTGGAATCTGGACGATGTTCATGGATGGTCCAGGTGGAAACAACCAGTGGCTGGGTAGCAAGATTTGAAAGCATGCAGCCTGTACAGGCTAAGCTCTTAAGTTCCAGTTGAAGCAAGCCTGTGCATGGCAGCCTGTACAGGCTATACTGGCAGCCTTTACAGGCT